CGCATATTGATTGGCTGGCTCCAGGCGGCCTGATGGGGGTAAGGAATCTTACCATTTCAGGGGAAACCAAAACTTAGGTCCAGGCCGCCTGTCATAGTGTTAGCCCTGGCAGCCTCACAGATATGAAAATATTCTCAGCTGAACAAGAGGAAAGGAACAGAAAAGCCACATGTTAGACTGGTGGGATGCAGCTAATAGCACCTTTAGAGGGAAATGCATGGCATTATAAGTTTATAGGAGGAAGGAAGAAATGCTGAGAATAAAGAAATGTAAGTTTCTACCTTAAGAAGAGAGAAAAGAGAAGCAAACCCAAAATGATGGGAAGAAAGGGAATGCTAATACTGAAGTGGAAAACAATAACATTGAAAACAAAAAAGAATGAAACCAAAGTCTTAAAAAAGTCAACAAATGGATAAAATTGTATCCAGATTGGGAAAGGAAGAAAAGAAGGGAGAGAGGGAGTCAGAAAGAAAGGAGAGAAGAAAAGGAAGTGAGAGAGACAGAGGAGACACACAGTCAGTCTGAACAGAGAGGCTCTCAAGTGCACACTCCACAGACATTTAAAGGTTAATAAGAAAATACTACAAACAACTCTACACACATCCATTTGACAACTTTGATGAAATGGATCAATTCCGCCAAAGCCACAAAATACCATAACTCACTCAAGAAGAAATAGATAACCTGAAGAGTCCCATATCCATCAAAGAAATTGAATTTATTGTTTAAAATCTTTCAAAGAAACAGAGAAAGACAAATGCCCAAGCCTCGATGATTTCACTGGTGAATTCTGTCAAACATTTAAAGACAAAATAACACTGTATCTATGTAATTTTTTTTCCCCAGACAGTAAACGGACCACTTCCTAATTCATTTTATGAGGCCAGACCTACTGTGATAAAAAAGGACAGTACGAAAAAAGATCAATATCCTTCATGAACAGAGATGCAAAAATGCCAACAAAATAGTGAGTTGAGTCCCCCAGATACAGAAAGACATGTTCGACATTCAAAACCTAATCACTTTAATCCAGAATGCTGTTGTTGTTCAGTCCCTCTGTCATGTCCGACTCTTTGAGACTCCATGGACTGTAGCCCGCCGGGTTCCTCTGTCCATAGGATTCTTCAGGGAAGAATACTGGAGTGGGTTGCCATTTCCTTCTCCAAGCGGGGGGGGGGGGGGTCTTTCTGACCCAGGGATTGAACCTGCATCTCCTGTATCTTCTGCATTGGCAGGTGGGTTCTTGAGCACTGAACCACCTGGGAAGCCCCTAATCCAGAATACTAAAGACTAAAAAGAAAAACCACATTCTATAAATGTGGTTAAAAGTAAAATTCTATAGAAAAACATTAGACAAAATTCTACTCCACTCATGATAGAAGATGTCAGCAAACTAGGAAAAGTAGGACACTCCCTTGACCTGAAAAAGAATGTACTCCAAATGCGTTGCTAACATTACACTTATGGTGGAAAGAGTCAATGCTTTCCTCCTAAGATCAGCACCAAGACAAGAATGCCCATGTTCACCGATTCTAGTTAATACAGGACTGAAACTGCTAGGCAGTACATGAAAGCAAAGGAAAGAAATAAAGACATGCAGCCTGGAAAGAAAGAAACAAGATGGTAGCTATTTGTATATGATCTGATTGTGTGCAAAGACAATCCCGAGGAATCAACAAAAAAGTTAGCACGCACACACACACAGAATGAATGAGTTTTGTTTGTAAGACTGAGCACCAAAGAAGTGTTGCTTTCAAATTGTGGTGCTGGCCTGGACTGCAAGATCAAACCAGTCCATCCTAAAGGAGACCAGTCCTGAATGTTCATTGGAAGGACTGATGCTGAAGCTGAAGCTCCAACACTTTGGTCACCTGATGCAAAGAATCAACTCATTGGAAAAGACCTTGATGCTGGGAAAGATTGAAGGGAGGAGGAGAAGGGGGTGACAGAGGATGAGATGGTTGGATGGCATCACCGACAATGGTCATGAGTTTGAGCAAGCTCTGGGAGATAGTGAAGGGCAGGAAAGCCTACGTGCCATCATCCATGGGGTCGCAAAGAGTTGGACACAACTCAGCAACTAAACAATAACAACAAGGATACAAAGATCAACGTACAAAAATTAAATATTTTTATGTACTTTCAAAGGATACTTTGAAACCAAAATTAATAGAAATGATACCTTTTAAAATATTTCCATAAAGTATGAAATACTAGGCTTTAAATCTAACAAAACATATACAGGATCAATATACTGAAAACCACAAAACAAGCATGTAAGAAATCAAAGAACATCTAGATAGATGGAGAGAGGAACAGTTTGTGGATGGGAGGACTCAATGTAGCTAAGATTTAAATTCTTTCCAAACAGACATATAGATTTACTGTAATTTCAACTAATATCCCAGCAGGATTCTTTTGTTGTGGGCATAGACAAACAGACTCAAAAATATATATGGAAGGGAATTCCCTGGTGGTCCAGGGATTAGGACTCTCATCTCTCACTGCCAAAGGCCCAGGTTCAATCCCTGGTCGGGGAACTAAGAGCCCACAAGTTGCGTGGTACAGCCGTTTTTTATTTAAATTGTGTATGGAAAACCAAATAGAACAACCAAAACACCTTTTGAAGAGAAGAATCAGTTTGGAAGAAGCGCACTGGCTGGTTCTAAGACTTATCACATAGAGCTTCCCCGGCGGTCCAGTGGTTAAGAATCTCCCTTCCAGGGCAGGTGACGCAGGTTCCAGCCATGGTCAGGGGACTAAGCTGTCATGTGCAGGGTGGTGTGATTTACCTTAAAGCTATAGCACTCCAGAGTGAGGTGTGACAAATGGGTGACCATATAGACAGGGAGGACAGAATAGAAAACAGATAAACAGACCCAGAAATATGTCCAAGTGATGCTTGCCGAGGTTCAAAGGAGGAAGGATAACTTTTTAACAAATGGTGTTGGAACATTTGGGCATTCATATCCAAAAAAGATCTGGAATTAAACTGTATGCCCCATATGCTGCTGCTGCTGCTAAATCGCTTCAGTCGTGTCTGACTCTGTGCGACCCCATAGACGGCAGCCCACCAGGCTCCCCTGTCCCTGGGATTCTCCAGGCAAGAACACTGGAGTGGGTTGCCATTTCCTTCTCCAATGCATGAAAGTGAAAAGTGAAAATGAAGTCTCTAAGTCATGTCCGACTCTTAGCAACCCCATGGACTGCAGCCCACCAGGCTCCTCCGTCCATGGGATTTTCCAGGCAAGAGTACTGGAGTGGGGTGCCATTGCCTTCTCCGATGCTCCATATAAAGACTCTTAAAGGGGCATAAATCTAAATATACAAGTAAACAATTTTTAGAAGGTAAAATCTGGAGTCAATATTTGTAACCTGTTATGTAAGAAATTCCCAAAACATGATCTAAAAAGAAAAATGCACAGGATTTCATCAAAACTAAAATGCTTTTGCTCTGCAGAAGACCCTGTTCAGAGGATGAAAAACTAAGGTACAAACTGGGAAAAAGCCTTTGCAAATCACATATCAGATAAAAGGACTTGTTTCTGGAACATGCAAAGAGCTTGCAAAACTCAACGGTTAGAAACAAGCCCAGTGGGGAAAAGAAACTCTTCCTCGGAGAACATATACTGATGGGAAATGCACCCACAAAGAGATACTCAACCTGGTTCGCCATCAGGGAAATGCAAATGAAAACTCCAATGAGATGCTGCTAACACACCTGTCACAAAGGTTAAAATTAAGAAGTCTGACAACAGCAATTGCTGGTGAGGATGTGAGCCACTGGAACTCACACACACTTGGCTGGTGGGAATGGGAAATAGTACACGCAGCCCTTCTGCAAGAAGCTTGACAGTTTATTGCGAAAGTAAATGCACATTTATGTATGACCCATCAATTCCGTTCCTAGATAATTACTGCAGAGCCACAAAAGCTCCACACAGCACGAAGGTTTCCAGTGGTTCGTTCATAATCGTCAGCGAGTGGAAACAGCCCCAGGGTCCTTTAGCTGGTGAGTGGATGAACAGACTGCTCTGCCCAAACAATGAAACAGGATGTGGCAATTAAGAAATGAGTGAATATGGACCCACGTACCACATGTACCCTTCTCCAGAGCATTAGGCTGTTGGGAAGAAGCCGGTCTCGCTGAGGAATTCATCTACATCGCCCTCCAGGAAAGCTGATCTAGAATGACCAGGACGGGTCAGGAGAAGCCTAAAGGGTGCAGGATGTGTCACTGTGAAGACCGGGCTCCAGCAGGCGTCCTGGGGCGAGGAGGCGGCTCTCCACTCTCCATCTGGGGTGTGGTGGCGGCGGCCACAGGGATCTATCTTCACGGGTGTGCAAGCTCATACAGCTGTCAACCAATAGAAGTCAGTTTTACTCCATGTTCACATTTTAAAAACCAAAATGGAAAAGAAATGATACAATAAAGCAAAAATGCCTGATCCGTAGGTGTACGTAATACAAAACTGATGTCATTTTCTCTTCTTATCAATTAAAAAAACATTCAAAAGCTTCTCCTGGGATGTTATTGGACAAGTGAGGGCTTTTTTTTTTTTTTTTTTTTTTAGGTACGAAGTGGATTTATTTATTTATTTTCTTTTTAAAAGAATTAATTTATTTTCAGTTGAAGGGTAAGTGCTTTGCAATATCGTGTTAGTGTCTGCCATACACCGATGTGAGTCAGCCACGTCCCCTCCGTCTTGAGCCTCCCTCCCATCTCCCACCCCACCCCACCCTCTAGGTTGGCCTTGAGCCCCGGCTGAGGTCGCTGAGTCACAGAGCAAATCCCCTCTGTCTGGCTGCTTTGCCTACAGTGGTGTCTGTTTCCCGCTGCTCTCCGTCTGTCTCACCCTCTCCTCCCCCACCCCTCCAGGGTCCTTAAGTCTGTTCTCTGGGTCTGGGTCTGCATCTCCATTGTGGACCGGAGAAGATTTCTGACTGTCAACGCCCAGGGCTGTCACCCCAGCAACACCGGAAGGGTTCTGTTGTCTGGTTCACCCTCCTGCACCCAGCTCCCAGGGCCGGGCTGGGCTCCGCTGATGGTGGCCGTGACGTGGTCTCGGAGATCCTGGGACGACAAGGTCAAGGCGACCTGACCGCACCTCCAGCTGTTCGTCTGGATGGTTCCTTCCATTTCCTCTGCTGTGATGGACCCCCCAACACCCCTGCCCCAAGCCCGGGAGCTCCGAGGGGAGGCGGGGTTGGCGTCTGAGTCTGTGCTCTGCGAACTCGCTGGCCGAGGCAGGAGCACGCCCAGCAGCAGACCAGCCCTCCGGGGACTGGCGGTGCCTGCAGGCCCCAGAGGGGGGTCCCTGGGGTGGAGACTGTGTCTCCTCGGCTGCCTGGGCCGCGTGGGCTCCACTCCAGGCGTGGCGAGGGCGTGCCGGCATTGCGGGGTCCTCCTGCTGCCCAGGACGGGGCCAGCGCGTCCACCCCAGACCCTGGCCGGCGCCTCCTCCTGCCCCTACTAACGAAGGGCCCTTGTGCATTCTGGTGACTCTTGACGAAGCGGAGTTAGAGCACAAATCAGCACGAAGTAATGTTTTTACTAAATTTCTGCTCTCTAGCCTGTGCGGTTGTATCAACTTGTTAGTGGGCCTCTGGGAACGCCGCGGTGCATACTGATGCCAGCTCACGCCAATTACCAGGCTGAGTGATGAAATAGCCTTGTATCATCTCACCAGTGCCTGGGAACAGCAGGTGAGTGCTATAGTTTATGATTTTCAATTATAAATCAAATAGACTGAGTTCTCGCTTCTCTTAATAAAGGCTGTAAAAGCACTGAAGTGTGTGGACAGGCTTCAGCTTGGGAAAGGAAGAATAAAAAAAACCAGGTTGGGTTTCTAAGCGATTGCTGGGGTGGTGTTTTTGTTTTTGCCAGGTCTGATGTGTTTAAGGTTTGGAAGAACGTTTTAGAATGTGTGCAGCCAGCAGGACGTGGAGGTTGAGGGCCCTGTTAATTACCCCGGGTGAGCTGGGGCGTGCTCTCCGCAAGCAGTGATCTCACGTCCCTTGGGGGTCCTGCTTCTCCTAACACAAATCCTGCTGCCCTGCGGATGTTCCTCCTCCGGGCCACTGGGGATCGAGTTTCTCGGTCCCTAAAGGACCAAGAGATGATGCTCAGAAGGAGCTGGGACGTCTGTGCGGACGGGCGGGGGCAGGGTCGGTTCTGTTCATCCTCAGAGACAAAGAAGGCTTCCTTTGAGGGTTCTGTCTCACGACGAGCTGGTTGACCTGGGGCAGTTTACCTAACCTCTCTGTTCCCGGGTTGCTTCATCTACAGATCTGACAATAATAACCATCCTGGCTTAAAACACGGAGGCTGACAAGCTGGCGGCCCCTGGGAAGCTGCTCATTATCGTTTCTGTTTGGAGAGGAAACGGCCGGAGAGGCGGGAGGAACAGGAGTAGCTTCCAGGGTGGTGGACGGAGGTCAGAGAGCCAGCGTGCAGGCAGCGGATGTGTCTGGCCAGAGATCTGAAGACGCAGAATCGCGCAAAAATGGAAGGTGTGGAAGGTGCGCTTTCTGCTGGAAGAAACAGCTCATTCCTCAGTTAGAAAGAGCCGATTACACTAAGCTCAAAATGAGACGCTTTCAGTGAAGGTTTTAAGTGATGAAGATAAGGAAAACGGTCGTGTAAACATCCAGGTAGAAAAAAGAAGGTACATCAGCGTGAACGAGGGTCCTTCTGGCTGTGGACCCCTCCCATGTTTACAGCCCAAACCCTTGAGGGGCTGCCTCTGTCCACTCGGCCACAGGCACACCCCCGATTCTTCACCTTATTTCAGATCAACAGAGGTGGCTCCACAAACATCTCCAGATGGCAGCATGAAATGCCCCAACTTTGAACAATTTGGACCCGTTTTTTATTAATAAGCTGCTCCTAATGAATCAAGTCCCCATGTGAGTGTCCCTGGGGCTGTGGTAACGACTCACCACAAGCCTGGTAGCCAGAAGCAGCAGGCATTTACTCCCTCACTGTCCAGAGCCCAGAAGTCAGAACTCGAGGTGTCGACAGGACCACGCTCCCTGCAGAGGCTTCAGATGATCTCTGGTTTGTGAGCGTCACCCGATTTCTACCTCCATCTTCACGCAGCTTCATCCCTGTGTGTGTCTCACATCTCCCTCTGCCTTTCTCCTGTAGAGGTTTGGGTGCAAGTCACGTCCAGCTGTTTATCTCCTCATGTACAGTAGCCTACCAGGCTCTTCTGTCCTTGGACTTTTCCAGGCAAAAACACTGGAGCAGGTTGGCATTTCCTTCTCCAGGAGATCTTCCCAACCCAGTGATCAAGCACCTGTCTCTTATGTCTCCTGCATTGGCAGGCAGATTTTTTACCACTGTACCACCTGGGAAGCCTACACACACCCTAAACCAGGATGATCTTGTCTGGAGATCCTCAAGTTTGTTACATCTGCAAAGATCTGCTTCCCAAATAAGGTCGCATTCCCAGGTTCCTGGGGTTGAGACACTGACGCTTCTTTCAGGGGCCTCTGTCTAAGTCGCCACAGCCCCAAGGGAAGTTTCTGCCCAAGCTCAGCCCCAAGAGCCTCCTCCAGGATGCCGGTGGAATGGCAGTCTGCAGCGCAGTCTCTGGAGTGGCCCGTCTGTTTGGGCATTTCCCCATGGGGAGGATGCGGAGCCCGAGTTCCTGTGGGGCACGCGTCCCCACCTTCCAAGGGTCAGCAGGACACATGTGATGACCTCAGGGCCAGCCTTTCCCCTCTGAGAGCCATGGCAGCAGCCACGATGCTGACAGGGGGAGGGACCCTCCCTCACTGCTGTGGTCCCAGCAGGGACCCCCTGGGTACAGAGAGACCGGTCTGGATGTGAGCCCAAGGCCGAGTCAGGATGGTCTTATTTGGCTGGCCCTGTTGACTTATTATAATCTTTCACCCCGACTTCCTGAGGGCCTGCTGCCCACCAGGCACTGGTCCAGAGAGCTCTGCTTAGGCTCAAGTCCCAGCCATTCTCCCTGGGAGTCTGTCTACACTGTGTAATCTGCTCACTCAGCCAGACTTACAGAGATAGAAGGAAAGAAAAAAAGGTGTCCACTGGTTCTGCCAAGATTCTAAGAGAAAGCCTCTATAATCCAATAATTTGATTTCCAGTGAAGGTTGATTGAATTGGGTTGGTTGATTTTTAAGGTGTGAAAGCCATAAGCAGAGAATCACACACATGCACACACACTCTCACACACGCACACACACTCACACTCACTCTCACACTCACTCACACACTCACACTCACTCACACACTCACTCACACACTCACACACTCACTCACACAAATGCACACACACTCTCACACACACGCATATGCACTCACACACTCACATGCACATACGCACACTCACACACTCACACACACGCACACACACACACGCCCACTCATTCTGTGTAGCCATTTTTAGATGTCACCTGGGCATCTGTGCCCATCAACAAATAGATAAAAGTTAAGAGCTCAGTGATGATAAAATGGGGCTCCCCCAGTGGCACTAGTGGTAAAGAACCTGCCTGCCAATGCAGGAGATGTAAGAGACGCAGGTTCAGTCCCTGGGTCGGGAAGATCCCCTGGAGGAGGGCATGGAAACCCACTCCAATATTCTTGCCTGGAGAATCTCAACGACAGAGGTGCCTGGTGGGCTACAGTCCATGGGGTTGCAAAGAGTCAGACACGACTGAAGCAACTTTGCGTGTACACATGAGGGTAAAGTGATAGCAGAACAGGGCTTATTTTGAGCATTGGAATTATTTAAATGTGGAACAATTTTTTAAAATTCTGAAGGAAAGTAAAGCGATAATCTTGTAAATAGCATATACCTGGGGGGATATGAAGTGAGTGGGGAAGCCATGCAGTGATATGGGATCCAGGGAAGACATTGAGGAGAGCAGATCTGATTCTTTGTCTTCGGTTCAGGCTGCTCAGCTACAATCGGACTGGACTGGAGTGCACTGACTTTGAGATTAGATGCTGCACCACATGCCTGTGAGGGTTTATCTTGTGTAACATCGGTCCAGGTGTCAGAACACTAGGGATGCCTGGAAACTAGGCCTGCTCCATCTTTCTGCTGCTCCAGCCTTCAGTGCACGGCATTTGCCCCCAGAGGGCCTCAGCATCCAAGATGGCTGCAGGGGCACCGACCACCACACTTGTCTTCCAGGCAGCAAGGCACAGTCAAGGGGCACAATGGCACACCCTGCCCATCTCTTAAGGAGTCTTCCATAAATCCTGCTCAGCAACTTCCTCTTACATCTGATTGGCCAGAACTTAGTCAAGTCACCATCCCTCTTTTAGGGAAAATGTGACGTTTTAGAAGGGCTCACTGATGCCTTTAGGAAAAGTTACTTTTTAAAAACTTTCTTTTTTTTTTTTAAACCAAGGATAAAACAGAGAATGGGTATTGGATAGTCAACTAGCCATCTCTGCCACAGATGGACAATAGGACTTATAGGAGTAAATCAGGCCATGGATTTATATGAGTCCTAATATTAATATCAGACAAAGAGAACTTCATGAAAAGATGTATCAAAAGAGAAAGTTATGATTTTATAAATATAAAAGCTAACCTCACAGGTACAGGGAAACTTGTGATCAACAGATAAAGTAGAAAGGCAAAGGAAAGGGTATTATACATCCATGGAGCAATTGGCAATAGCAGAATGGTAGCAAAATAGTTAATACATGTATTTCACTTTTCACCATATTGGTAAGATAAATCATCATAATAAATCATAAATAATGAGTCATAGTAAAGCAATATAGATCTGATGAGTATTGTCAGGTACATTTGTTTATAATTCAGCAAATACACACAGATAGAGTACCCATCTACATGCCAGGTAATATTCATCCGTGAGGCACAGCTAAGAGAAGACAGCTCTCCTGACCCTTGAAACATACAGTCTGGGGTTAGTGGACTGAAGGAACATTAATCATTGAAATACGACTCCTGTGGGGAATATCTATTTTTTCCTAGAACCACTGGAACATTTGTAAAAACAGATGAATTCTTAAGCCATAAAGAAATCAACAATCTATTATAAAATCACAAATTGTTCTTATTCTTTTTGCAAGCCACACTGTCATAAAGCTAGAAAATAATAAAAATATTTTAAACTAAGAAAATACAGAATGTAAATGTCCTCTTAATTCATTATTAGCAGAAGGAAAGAAAGAGAAAGAAAGAAGGGGGCATGGAAGGAGGGAGGAAGAAGGAAAGAGGAAGAGAGAGAGGAAGAAAGACTTCAGGACAGACGATGCTGAAAGGATGCATCCTAACTAATGGCATTCAGCCAGATAAACCTCAAAGGAAAATCCAGAACTGGGAGTTACTTTACCAGAAAACAACTTTACAAACATAAAAATTCTATTTGTTAGCTTTGGGTGCCTAAGAAGTTCAGTTTAGTTCAGTTGCTAAGTCGTGTCAGACTTTTTGTGACCACATGAACCGCAGCACGCCAAGCCTACCTGCCATCACCAACTCCCGGA